ATGAGAATGAGAGAAATGCTGCACTGCACAAGGCAGAAAGCCTGTTGAGGACAAAGTCCTGACTTCAACAGTGCCCAGTAAAAGGTGCTTGGGAAAAACCACAGTATCTGGGGCTTGTCAGGATTAATTATGGTTCTTGTGTGTATTCTCAGGCTTAAGTAACCAACATTGTTTCTAATAATATCTCTTTCAATAATTTTTCTGACCTTTTCCTTTTAACTTACATTAATTAGTTTTGCGACATTGTGTTTCAATGAACATCACAATTTTGTTGCCCATTAAGTGGTGTGTTCTCTGTGCTGTATTTCTGTCCTTTAAAATTTTCTTTATTTCTTAAGACTACTGTACTATAAAACACTTTTTTTTGTTTGTGTGTGTGTGTGTGTGTGTGCATGTGTGGCATTTTAAACAATGTGTTCCATATTATGCTGAACTATAAAGATTTAAAATTTTCACAATTTAATTCTTCTTTTTCTCCTCAGGAAGAAAAAGCTACAGAGTAGTAAATTATCATAATTAGTTTTCATTGATCTCAAAGGTCTAAAATCTGAACACCAAACAAGATGATAAAATGCAACTCACATTTTCATGGAAACCGAATATTAAACACATACTTGCCATGCCAGCTTGTATTCCTCACCTTCCCCCCCCCCCCAAATTGTGTTCTTTTGAATATAGTTAGAGTCAAATATCATACATCAATTCATCTTCAGTGTCATAGATATGCTACAGCAGTGCAGAAGAACATTTTATATGCATGTTGGCTTTGCATGTTTCTCTCGTAACTATGTTCTGAAATGAATCTCAAAATTCAGTGGTGCTTAAAGGAAATGACCAAAATTGTGTCACCTCCAGTTAATGTGCCTAATACACGTATGTGTAATTCCATGTGTTTTATGTGTTTTTGTTTTGTTTTGATAATGAATCATAAAACACAGAATTGAAGGCTAATTGAGTCAATTTGGGTGGCGGGGGAGGATGGGGAGGGATGAGATTCATTTTAACTTCAATCATTTTTTGTTTTTTACCTTACTGCTAGACATAGAAAACTTTGTTTCATCCTATTGTTAATTCACTGTTTCCATTGATTTTCAGATTTTAGTGAATCAGAGGTTAAAGCATCCTAATTATTTCAGAAGTGATTTATCTTTTTGTGTTGTTTTCTTTTTTTCTTGTTCATTTGTGTTTTCTGCTGTTTCCCTTTCATGCTGCAGTTGCAAATATATTGTGGCGAGAGCAAGGTACAAATATATTTTTTCATATTTTTCTGTAGTGCAATGAAGTGATGTTCCTTGTGCTTTTTGTGTGTGTGTGTGTTTTTGTTGTTGTTGTTGTTCATAGATTACAGTTACAGTAATAACCTTTTTTTTTCCAAGCAATATTTGAGGGAATTTGGTCCTAAGAAAAAAATGTAGTGGAAAATAATCCTTTGAATGTATGTGTATCTTTGTGACTTGCCTTTCCCTTTGAGGAGGGTGGAGAAAATAAACGGATTAAAGTTTTTAGAGAATTGCTCAAAGAGTGACAACAAAAAAATCTGATTTAAAATGTAAGCTTTTGTTTGCGAATATGATAAATCTTCCAACAAGTCTGACTATATATTGTTGAGTTTGGTTTTCTTCCCTGATTCTTTAATCATTCTTATTTCTTCAAATCATAATTTTAAATATTTTTGCTAAAATCAAGGCTTCTGCTGTTTCCTAATGAGACAAGGCATGTTATTCTTTATATATATATACTCAGGAAGGATTTCTGAATATTGAAGAGGAGAATGAAGGTTTGTGATTTGTTTTGTGACAGAGCAAAGGATAAATACAATTACACAGACAGTATCAAGTCTTAAAAGCATGGAAAGCAAAAATAGGTATTAATTTTTTTGTGTGTGTATATATATATATATATATGAAATCTTTTCTGACATACACTAAGAAAAATGTATCACCATGGAACACTATCAAATGTAAGCCTTGTCATGAATTGTCATATCTTTTCTCTAAGCAACCAGATCTTATATCTCAGTTCAGGATTCATTTATTTCAGGAATAGGAAATGTTTCAAGTATTTTCAGTGGAATATTGGTAATACTAAATAGTGGACTAGGCTTTGCTGTGAACTAGTGCTAAAAATGGTATTTCTAGGTGTTTCTTAAATATGTATTTTAAATTAATTTAAAGATTCCAAATATTGATATTTCTTTTGCATAACTACATACTAAACTTCAGCATTTATCAATGTGTTTAAAAACATGAGCAAGGGTTTTTAAATATATGATACTGTTTTACCAGTTCTTCATATACAAACAAATCCAAAGCCACTATATATATATAT